GGAGCCATTTATCCCTCCGCCCTTCAACTAACCCCACATGCATGTATCGGCCAAGTTGGCACAATAAACTGCCTCAACCTCCTTCCTGTCTTTTCTGTAAAGTGTTATCTAGTAGAGTAGAGAAATAACCTGGTGGCATAGTGGTTATGCATTGGGCTGGTAACCACAAGGTCAAGGGTTCGAAGTCACCATGTGTTTGTCCGACAGGAGAAAGAGAAGGCTCAGTTAGGGTCTTGGAAACCCACCGGGGCCTTTCTCCACTGTCCTCTAGGTCACGCTAAGTCATCATCGACTCGATGGCAGGGAGGTCACTTATCCCCTTGTGGGGTGTTCATCCGCAAAGTAGCCAGACCTGATTTCAGTAAAAATACATCATTGTTATCTGTATTTCTTCCCGCCATAACCTTTTTGGGGGGCTGTAGACCCTTTTAAGGATTTTATAAAAACTGGGGGCTCCCTCCTCAGGAAAAAGTATTGATATGCACATCTCTCCTTCTGAGAGGTCAAGATGCTGATGGAAAAAAGTCCTCATTCAATGTAACAGCATGGGATTAACTGTGTTGGTAAGGATTAAAGCCTGGTGACTGTGAGCCATGCTGGAGTGACTGCGGAGGCCAGGAAACGCAGAGAGCAAGTATAGTTAACTCTTTGGGAATTTTCCCAGTGAAAGCAGGGAACTAATACAGCAGGTGGATAGGAGGGGGTTAAGGAGGGCTTGCTTTATTTTTATATGAGCATAAATGCTGATGGAAAGGGTCCAATTGAGAGGAAGAGGTTGGAGATGCAGGAGATCCAGTCGATGTAGAATAATGTAAGGTTCCTGTGACGCAGGAGGAAATGGTGTCCAGAGTACAGTAGACTTTGTGGGTAACCATTATATCGACCGTTGTGTCTGTGGGGAAAAGCGCAGTTTAATTTCCAAATCAATGACTTACAAACGACCCTTTCGCCCACTGCCATTTCATCAGTTTCAGACTTCAAGGGCTGCTGATTTTGCCAGTCTTTTCCCAAAATAAAAGGAGCTAGGCCAGCACAGTGGACTTCGAGCGCTCCAATCTTGGCCTAGGAACTACGATGTTAGATGACATTGAATTCATTGTTCATGCTTCACCTGTGAAATTAGAAATTTAGGCTCGGAGGCATTTGGAAATGTGTTGTCATAACAACTGGGGGTTTGTGGGTGTCTTAGCTGTCACAACAGCTGGGTGCCACTGGTGTTTGCCCAGGACCAGTGCTAGTAGTTGTCCCGTCATATACGGGCAGTTTGTCACAACAAATCATTTTCCTGCCCCAAACCACAGAGCCAGGTGACCTCTGAGGGCCTTGCTAGCTCTAAAGGACAGAATCAACTAAGGAGCTCAATGCCGTTTGGAGCCTTTGAGAGTCTTCAACTCTCAGGGACAACCCTTGAATCCTCAGTGAGTAGTCATTTTGGCGAATCGCTGACGATTCAACAAGCTTTTTGGACCGGGACCTACAGCTCCTTTATGCCGTCCAAGATGGAGATAATAGGGACAAGCCTGACTCATCTCCATTTTCCTCTTCATTGCAGGTACTACTGGGATTTCCAGCCCCAAGGTGAGTGCTCTTGTATCATTTATGGTTTTACATTGAAAACATGGAGTTCGTTTACTTCTGTCTTTTCTAAACAAGCTCCTCCACAGAGTGACATTAGCAGTTCCGAGGAAAGTTAGTGGTGTGGTTAATTAACCTTCACCCTGCTGGGTCCCCTGTCCTGTGTTTTAGCAGCAGGAGGCGCCGCCTCTCTCACCTTTTCAGTGGCTTGCTCGATTATCTCATCAAACCAAAACAATAACATACATTTATTCTTTGAGCTGTGTAGCTGCAAACAGGATCCACGACCATTCAAATAAAATGGTGGCTGAGGCCATAATAAAAACCTTGACAGGGCTCCCACTCAGCGAATCCTTCATTTGCTCCAGAAATAAATTCCAGTGTGTTACCTCCTCGATCACGGTGTGCTGCCTGTCTGGCAGCAGAGAAATGTCAGAAACGGAGCAGCGCTGAAATTCCCACAAGAACAGTGTTATCACATTTTAATATACGCCTCACTGCAGCCCCGGTGCTTCTAATAGCTTCCAAGCCATTGTTTTCCCGCATTCGCTTGATGAACCCAGCATCTGGCACAATGCTGAAGAGAGCAACAGACAGCTGTGTGCAAAATTAAAAACAAGGAAGGGGGCGCGGAGAGAGAGCCAGACACATTTTTAAAAGGTCCAAAATAGGATTTTTCCCCCCTGAATTCAAACACTTTAAAGGCACGTCTTTAAGAGATGCGTCCCTTCTTTTTAACAGAAACATCCGCCTGAATAGTAATGATCTTTATTCTAAATGGAAGATTTTTATTTTCTCAAAGATTCACAGCGAGTTAAAGATTCAAGCTGCAAAGAGTGTGTGAACTATTTGGCTTCCGGACTTTTTCTTCTCTTAATACTGCTAAGGTGTCCAGTGCCAGGGCCTCGTTTGTGTTGTGTGCTATCGAGACAAATACAACTCACAGTGACCCTGCGTGTCAGAGTAGAAGTGCCTCGATGGTTGCCTAGATTAAGGTCTTTATGGAAGCAGACCGCCAGGCCTTATCTCCTATGAAATGACGGATGGAAACATTCAAGTTGTGAGTGATGACACAGCTTTATTAAAAATGTTGGTTTCCTAGCTCATACTTTGTTTTATATGTTTCAAGCCTAATTTGGCCTTTGTTTAAAAGCCAACCTTAAGGAAAATCTTTTCATTGTAAAGCTTTTTGACTGATATATACTAAAGTCCGGGTATTCATGACACTTATGATGTGATGTGGTGCTACTCTGAATCTTCTTACTCTAAAGCACTGATAGCTAAACACATGGATTTAATGGTAGAGAATTATCTGTAGCAGTTTGCTTTGTAAAATGTGAAATGTGCTATTCAGGGAATGGCCCTACAGTTCAGGGTTTAACAGATGTTAACCAAAATCCACAAGGACCAGAACATGAATGTGAAGTGGCAGAAATGAATGGAACTGTGCGGGGAGAATTAATTACCTAAAGGAGAAAGAAAGACTTAGTGTCAGAGATGTGGTATAGTAATGTGTTGAGAAGAGAAAATCATTTTGGAATTTAGCACACGAGACCCTACGAGACTAAAAAGACAAAGGGCGCACCTCACCAGACTCTTGTCGTTGGCTTCATTGTCCTTTTCCAGTGCAGGGAAACTTCTACACCCAATTTCTCTTTTAGAGCGAGGGCAGAGGTAGAGCTGCTAAGGGCACAGCTGAAAATCGTTGACTTAGAACAGAAAACAGTGTGTGCTTCTTGACAATGATGGAATACGTTTCGCAAGGTCGTTGCTCATTCGGAAGTAAATGTTAGGAAAGATCAAGTCGAAAAATGTATATTCATTGCATCTTGCCCCGCCCCCAGCCTTGCTCCTCCTTTGTGTTTGATGAGGAAGGCAAATCTCACTTACCTTGCCTTTTTGATCGGATCTCAGTGGATTACATGTTTCAGCAAGTCTATATAAAGATTTCCACCACGTGTCTGTCAGTTTGTCACTTGGTGGTGGCTGGTGTGTTGCTGTGACACTGAAAGCTAGGGATATTGCCGGTTATTTCGAATGCCAGCAGGTTGCTCACCACGTGCAGGTCGCAGCGGAGCGTCCAGCGTAAGAACAATTACCAAGAAGAGGTCAGCTGCATCTTTCAGAGGAAGTACCCTCTGAAAACCTGGTGCCTAGCAGGGAGGCATCGTCCGCTGCTGAAGGCCGCGCGGAGGGAGGCGGAACATCGCTGGAGATGGTGCTGGAGGATGGACCCCTTCGGTCCGGAGGCACTTGAACTGTGGCTGAGGGGAACCTGCTTTCTCCAAGCAGAGACCGCCACACTGGCCTCAGTGAAGTCAAGCCTGTGGGAGCAGAGCCCCTGGGGTCTTCATTTGCTGAGGGGGCGCCACTCAAGTGAGAAGAAACAGTTGCAAACGTCGGTTCGTGATTGGCCCTTGGAATGTACAACGTGTGTATGTAGGACAATTGAAGGTCATCAGAAATGAGGTGACATGCATAAAGATTGATCTCCTCGGCTTTCGTGAGCTGAAGTGGACTGGTATTGGCCATTTGAAGAAGAAAATCATATGCTTTACTTTGCTGGAATGACAGGATTCAGAGGAACGGTGTTGCGGTCATTGTCAAAAAAAGATGTTTTAAGATCGATTTTGAAGTACAATGTTATCTGTGATAGAATTACGTTTGCCCATTTTCAAGGACGTCCAGTCGATACAACTATTATTCACATCTATGCACCAACCACTAAAGCTAGTGATGAAGAAATTGAAGAATTCTACCCAACTCTGCGGTATGAAATTGATCAAACATGAAGTCAAGAGGCATTGATGATTATTGGCGTTTGGAATATAAGAGTTGGAAACAAAGAGGAAGTAACAGTAGTTGGAAAATATTGTCGTGGGGATAGAAGTGAAACTGGAGATCGCATGATGGAAAGTTGCAAGAGTAACTATTTGTTCACAGAAAATTCTTTCATTTTTTTAAAATCGCGGCCGAGGTCTGAAAGGCTGGTATTCACATAAGCAGCTATCTAAGTGAGGAGTCAACTAAGTCCACATGGAAGAAGCATACCAGCCTGTGTGATCCAAAGATGACAATAACAAAATCCAAATATGATGGAGAGAAAAGTATCAGAGCTGACATTGTGAACCCCCAGTTTGTAGAAGACTTTGGAGGACACAGAGCCCAAAACCCACCTGCTGAGAGTCTGGCAAGATTGGGCCAATGGCAGATCCCCTCTAGTCACAGGTGAGGGACTCAATCAGTTTTACTATCAAAGATTACTATACACTTGATGATGGTGAATCGAATCATGGTATCATATGATACTTATGATAATATGACCTCTCTCTTGACCCAACCTGAACTTGCTGTATGCTCAAATATTTATCGTTTGTTCCAAGAAAGAAATTTCTTCTCTGCCTTTTAAAATACTGTTGGTGGTTTTTTTTCTTTCTTATTCTTTAGTTTTATCTTTATATTATTACCATTTTCTTCTTTCCGTTGTGTTTTTGGTGTTTCTGTGAGGTCTCCCATTGAGGAAGCACCGCAGGAGTGGATGCAGAGACAATAACAGAGGCAGTGGTTTCTCAGGAAGTGGAACAAGGGAGCGATCAGTGGATGTGGGAGGGGAAGGGAGCATCAGAGCTGATGTGATGGTGTACACACAACTCTTTTGCGAAGCGTTTTAGCTAAGGAAGTACATGACATGTGACTGTTATATCTAGAATACTACTAAAGAAAAGAGACCAACCTTGACTTATGATCACCATGGGTGAAGGAGAAAGAGTTTTTGCTTGGGGGCCATTGGGATCATTTTAATGGCGGAGAACAACTTGGAGAGGGATAACAATATTGGTTGTACAACAGGAAGAGGATAATCAATGGCACTGACTTATACATGTAGAAGTTGTTAAATTGGTGAATGTTTTGTTATGTTTATTTTTTGCCAAAAATGAAAAAAATTACATGAATAACAATGAGAATGGGCAAAAAGGAAATGTTCTAAAATTTGATTGTGGTAACGATTGTTCAGCTCTTCTTGATATGGTTGGACTATTGAATTGTATGATATGTGGACAAAGTACAAATAGAACGGTTCATTTAAAATAAAAAGAAAATACCTTTTGTTGACGACATACCTGCACGTCTCCAGATGAGACACACAGAAATCAAATGGACTACAGCTGTGGGAAGAGATGAAGGAGAAGCTCAATGTCAGCAGCTAAACCAGGCCAGGGGCCAACGGTGGAAAAGAGCATTAATTGTAAATTTAGGTTAAAGCTGAAGACAATGAAAACAAGTCCACACGAGTCAACGTAAGACCTCGACTGTATCCCACCTGCTGCACTGAACACTGATGACAGAAGACCTCCTGCTGAGGACGTCAAGAGCATCATTCCGGAAGAGAGCAAATAGCACTGGAAATACAGGCTGTCAGAAGGGACTCTGACATTCGCTCTTCGTTGTGAGTGACTGAGGCAAATGGGAGAACTGATGAAGCCATAGAGCTGACTGGAAACGTCAACGGCCAGCGAGAGAAGACGGTGCTGTGTCCTGAAATGACAATCTACTGTAAAAGACCGACCGCCAGAAATCCAAAACGGAAGAGCAAGCTCACTATCTCTCACGCTGAAGGAACTCAAGAAAAAGCTCAAGCCTCAAATTTTAAAACGGAAAGATTCTCTAGACAAAATATTGAACGATGCAGGAAGATCGAAAGAAGACGGAAAGAATACACAGGGCCACTGTACCAACAAGAACCAGTCAGCATCCAACCACTGTAAGAAGTAGCGTCTGAGCAAGAGCCAATGGTGCTGAAGGAAGAAGTCCGAGCTGCGCTGAAGGCAGTCGCCAAAAACAAGGCTCCAGGAGTGAATGGAATAGCCGTATAAATGTTCCAAGACGCAGGTGAAGCACTGGAAGCACTGACTTGTCCATGCCTGGGAATTGGGAAGACAGTGACTTGGCCAAATGGCTGGAAGAGATCCGTATGTGTGGCTACCCAACAGAACGCTCAAAGT